AGGGGACACCCTGGACAGGTCACCAGTCTATCACAGGGCTACACTTAGAGACAGACAACCAAGCACACTCACATTCACACCTACAGACAATTTAGAATCACCAATTAACCTCAACATGTCAAATCTATCTTTATCAAATTGGAGCAACTGAGCATAGAATCTTTAACGAAAGTAAAGCACTTCCATGTTAACTTCACGTTTCAGACTTCCATAATTATTGGTTAAGATGTGTTAAAAGCTTTAAAATAAATTCAGTTTTTATTGCAGAAACATACTCTCACACTGAAAACTGTAGAGAAATGTAACCTTCAACTCAACTCAACTGAATTGTTGGCAAAAGGAGGTTGTACAAAGTATTAACATCAAGGGTGCTAATAATTGTGGTACACATGGTTTGATGTAAAATAATTATTTTTTAATTTGGGATTTTTTTCACACTGAATAAATGCACTTGAATTAAAGGTTGAATTTTCCTCTTTTTTTTTCATTGTGGTTCGATATTATTTAGAAAAAAACAGAATTTACTAGAAGCTAAAGAGCACATCTTAACCAGGGGTGCCAATAATTATGGAGGACGCTGTACATATAGTATTTAATCAAAATTTACTTCACAAATATTCTGTGTACCTGCAATAGCAATGTGTTCAGGGATGACATTTTGCATAAAAATGCATAAAGCTGTATTGTCTAGTTGGTGAAATATGTAGGCCATATGTATGATTTAAACAAATAATAATAACTCACCATGTTGTCAAAACGGTCATACTCCTTGGTCTCTATTGGTAACCACATTCTCCTACCAAGTTTGCTTTCGTAAATCTCAACTTCTCATTCAACAAATTTTAAAATGAAGCTGCCTGAGAGAAATGTTAGTTGTTTGCTAAACTGCTCGCAATTCATAAACGTGCACAACCTGCTTGATGAATGGCTTCAAGCAAACACAGATTTGTTTTATGTGGAACCTCTGTGCTATACTGTGGTACCATGCCTCAATAGAACCTTCAAATTGTTGCATGAAACCCGTGAAAAGCAGATCGTTTTCCATATCTGTAACAGAAACTACATCAGTTTCAATATTTAGATGCAACGTGTTTTTTTTTTTTTTTGACAGAATGAGTAACGACCACAACACTGAACCGTCATTTCAGAAGAAGTCATCCCTGTGTTTTGTTTTATGTGTGTGTGTGCAGGTGTATGGGGTGTTTTATGCCACCTCCTTCCTGGACCTGTACCGCAGTCCTCGTCAGATCCACACCACTTCTCTCAGCCTCACACTGAATGTAGACAGCGATGAACAGTATCTCTTCCTGGTGAGTCCTCCTCTAAACTCTTTACAAACTCCCCTCACTTAAAACCCCTCTTTTTGTTTGCAACTTTCATTCTTAGTTTTGATTACACGATCAAATCCATTCAGTGTTAAATCAGGAGAGACATCTGGTAGATGTCAGAACTCCCAGATGTCTGAAGTGGAAGCATCTTTCAGTGAAACCCTTCGTGTTTTCACACTGAAAAAGGCTGTTCTGGCATGAAGCCAAATTAGCTTCAGCAGAAAAGTCTGTGTCGGCAACATGTGTGAAGAAAATTGAGGGATAAACCTCCCCCCAATTTTTCCACCTAAAAAACAAAAAGTCAGCTCAGAAGAGGAAATTATTTCGTGTTAATTTTGACGAATGCAGGTGCAAATAGCACCACGATGTGCTCCACAGCTGCGCAAGCACCTCTTTGTACTGAGGGGCGATGTGGGAGGTGTTGCAAGCAGTTGATCAAAGCTTAGTAGTGAAACATGAATTTAAATGCAAGCACTTTAGTATGCATAGCGACAGATACGGTTTTAAGACGAATGTTAAAAATAGCAAGGGTTTAAAGTCAGGCACGCAGATGGTGGGCTCTGAATTTCGCATCAACAGAATGAATCCATGGATTCAACCTGCCTCGTGTCAGCCGTCCAGACTGATGCTGCTTCTGGTGGGGTGAATGTTTTCTTGGCCCACTGTTGTTCTCCTTCACACAGATTAGTCTGAGTGTTGCTGCTGACCATGTTCGTCCCTTCATGGCCACAGTTTATCTTTCCCTAATGACTGCTTCCAGCAGGATAATGCAGCATGTTTCAGACTGGCTTCTTGAACATGACAGGGACCTTCCCATTCACCAGATGGGAATTCAGCAAAACATCTTTGGGATGTGGTTAAACAGGGCATCGGCAGCGTAAATGTGCAGCTGACAAATTTGCACTGAAGAGAAGCCTGACCCCGTCTTAGGATGGTATTCTTAATAAAGTGTGTGCTGAGTCTATGTGCATATTACAAGCGGTTGCTTATTGATCCAAACTGGAAAAAATGAAATAACTGAGGACTGTCTGCCTACACTGTATGTACAGGATCCTTATCTGAGGTACTGCTTCTGCACAAAAACTTCATGTGTTTAACGGTTTATGCTAAATAATATGTATTTGTGTTATTTCTTTAATGAATGCATTGCTAGATAAACGTAGTGTCTCTTGTAAGAAGTGACACGTTAGCTCCTCTGTGTTTGTTTCAACTCTTCTATTTATTTGAGGTCCATTTGTCACTGTAGGTTGGTCGTTCTGCATTTTTTTGTCTTTCTTACAAAGTTAAATTTGATGATCATATGATAGATATATGTAAACAAACGTAAGGGGAAACGAAGGCCAATAGGAGTGAAAGGGTTTATATCAGGGATCTCCAACCCCAGTCCTCGTGAGCTACTGTCCTGCAGGGTTTAGACGTTTCCGTACTGCAACACACCTGACTCACATTGATGGATCTCCAACAGCTTGTTGTCAAGTTCTACACAAGTCTGTTAATGATCCATTAATGTGAATCAGGTGTGTTGCAGTACGGAAACGTCTAAAACCTGCAGGACAGTAGCTCACGAGGACCGTAGTTGGAGATCCCTGGTTTACATCATGTTGGTGCTTATTTACCGTTTGACAAAGTTGTAGAAAGTAACATGGCTGTATGTCAAAAAATTGTGAACCCCCAGTGCCCCATTTCTGCTGGTGAGTGTGAAAGTTTTAAAAAATGCTAAAATGACACTATTTATCAGCCAGAAATGGTAAAAAAAAAAAACCAAACAAACATCAGATTCTCAACTTCTAAGCTTAAAATCCTAAATATTGTTGAAGTCAGTTAATTCTACATCTCATATAAACATTACAAAAACATAAGACATAACCCAGTGTGGGTAATGCTGTATTAGGGAACTGAACGTGTGTGTGAATATTGGTATTCTCTGTCCAGCTGTCGTTCTATCATGTGGTTGGACCAGAGTGATCATAACTGTTGTGGTTTGTGCTCAGGCGCGAGCTGTCTCTCCCTTCCTGGGTCCTCCCTCCGACTACGCTGTGGTGAAAATGATTCCCAACGAGAGGCTGCCACCCAGGAACCTCCACCGCGTGCGAGTGGACAAGACTCAGGCCATGCTGAAATGGCAGCCGCCCTACGACACCCCCAACGCCCCTCTGGTACGACACTGTGTTGTGTCGCTGTGCTGGTGATGACACATGAGGATCAGGAGGGTGGGCTGCTGGAAATTAGTGGTCTCCAACCTTTTTTGCACTATGGACCGGTTTCAAACAAGACAATTCTCTATGGACAGGTCATGGTGCACATAACAAATAATAATCGTGTTTTCTGCTAAAAAGTGTAGATGAATTAGTTTTTATTGCTAAAAAAAAAAAAAAAGCGACAACGATGTTTACACTTGTTCTGACAGGTACCTTAATCCTGCAGCAGGAAGTGTATTGACTCCATAACGTAGGTCGTGTTCACTCCTCTAGAAACAGCTGTGTGTGTTTCCATTTTAAAAGTTGCTTGAGTACTTTACCTTGCACACATTCTTAGTTTCCACGGTTTCCTTTTAAATTGGCCGATAAACCAGTCTAGTCATTTCTGAGTTTGTATCAGTCATCAAACACCTGTACTTCTCAACCTTGGAGGCGTGTTTTCCTCTTTAACGGCTGCTTTCTTCGTATGTCTTCAGACATATGTGATCCACGTGCGGGATGCGATCCGGAAGGTGGAGTGGGACTACAAGCTCAAAACCCAGAACAACACAGTGGAGTACCAGCTGAAAAACCTGGAGCCCGGAGGACGGTACAGCGTCTCTGTTCGCCTGCGCAACATGAGCAAGGAGGCCAGCTTCACTCTCAGCACAGGTGTGTGTCTGTGCACAGCACTCAGATCATTCCGGAGCCATTTTTCCAATATCATGCAGCCTCACCAGTTACATCTGTGTGACTGTCACAGGATCAGAGATGATCAGATTACAATTTGTGTGTGATTATGGTTTTGTAAATACCACAACACTCTCCATGGTACTACATGTATTTGTAACTGTGCAGCAGGCTCAAGGCTTGGAGTGCTGACAAACTACACCTGCCATCATACTCACGTTACATAAACTCTGCATGTCTTCACCGAGAAATACAGTAATTAAAAGATCATTTCTCTCTGCTGTAGTTCCTCTTCCAGCTCCAGAAGCCCTGAAAATTTTGACAGAGAAAGACCACGTGTTCCTCTTCTGGAAGAGTCTGGCTGTGCGAGAGAAGGGCTTCAATGAGAGCAGGGTGAGATACGCTGACCAGTGCTGTCTCTACATTACGTGTTATTTTCAACATGGTGCAAGTTCTTTTATAGCCCTACTTCCTAAAGTTTGCCTAGAGATTTGTATATCTACCTCTGTAATTGATATAAGATTTATGAAGTCTTAGAGTCATGGCATGTCCCATCCCATCCATTATCTATACACCTTAGTCCTCACTAGGGTCACGGAGGGCTGGAGTCTATCCCAGCTGACTCAGGGTGAAGGCAGGGGACACCCTGGACAGGTCACCAGTCTATCACAGGGCTACACTTAGAGACAGACAACCAAGCACACTCACATTCACACCTACGGACAATTTAGAATCACCAATTAACCTCAACATGTTTCTGGACTGTGTGGGAGGAAGCCGGAGAACCTGGAGAGAACCCACACTGCACGGGGAGAACATGCAAACTCCACGCAGAAAGATTCCGGTGTCCTCACCGGGACGCAAACCGGCGACCTTCTTGCTGTGAGGCAACGGTGCTAACCACCGCTCCACCTTGCAGAGTCATGGGATGTTTCAGTGTATAATCCTGACAGAAGAATGACCTTTTTGTGATTTTAGTTCTCCTTTTAATGCTCATGTGTCTGTGCTGTTATCGCCCCCCACTGACTGTCTGGGTGTGCTGCTTACAGGGCTATGAGGTGCACGTGTTCGACAGCGTGACCAACCAGACGTCCTACCTGGGAAACACCACAGAGACCTACTTCCGCATCAGCAGCCTGCTGCTGGGACACAACTACACTTTCTCTGTGCAGGCCCGCTGCCTGCTCAGCGGCCAGCTGTGTGGGGAGCCTGCACTGCTGCTCTACAACCAGCTGTCAGGTACCGACACACAGACACACTTTCAAACAGTGAGACTGGACGTTAGCTTACGGTTCTGCCATACAGACCACAAACCCATCCCCATGTCTGTCTGAGCTGTGTCTTATTCTGAAGTCTGAGCTCTTGCAGAAATCACATGCGTTTAAAAAGAATTAGATTTTAAATTCATGCTGTAAATCACTGGTCTCCAACCTTTTTTGCACCACAGACCGGTTTCAAGCAAGACAGTTTTCTAAGGACAGGTCATCGTGCACATAACAAATAACCGTTTTTTTTCCTATTAAAACAGTGTCGGAAATGAATCACTTTTTATTTGCTAAACATGTGTTTACTTTTTCTTCTGTGTCAGCATCGAGTCTCTGCAGACAAGTTTGTTTTTTATTCATTTCGGCAGCAGTTCGACTGACGGCTTCAATTTACAGCCGGGCATGAAAACTGACAGTCAAGTGCAGGAAGTGACGGCAGACGAGCTAGTCGTTTTTCAAAATAAAACACCCTGCAGACTTTGCCTGAAATAAAATAAAAAACAAAACATTCTTAATCTTTCTGTGCGACCTGCTACCAAATGACCCACGGCCTGGTACCAGTTCGCGGCCCGGTGGTTGAGGACCGCTGCTTTAAGTGATCTTTTTCCACGTGTTCAGGGTCCAGTGACGCCTCCCGCAGTGAGGGCCACTCAGGAGACATGGCAGCGGTGGTGGTCCCGGTCCTGTTCCTGCTGCTGCTGGGAGTGTGCGGCGGCTTGGTGGCGCTCTACTTCCGACACCGCCGGCTGCAGAACAGTTTTACCGCCTTCGCCAACTCCCACTACAACTCTCGCCTGGGCTCTGCCATCTTCTCCTCTGGGGATGAACTGGGTAAGTTTAGATTTAGAGCCTCAGACCATTTAGATGTTGGTGAGAAAACACTGACCTGACACTGCAGAGGATAGTAGAGTCTGTTTGTGGTTCTTTGACTAAACTGCGCTCTTCAAGGAGTGAAATTGACATGATTGGTTGGAGGGGAGACTGCTGGCTGTCGTAGTTGTGTCACTGCATCCCAAACTCCCAGTGGTTGTCCAGTAAAGTGTTGAAGGTGGAGATTCTGAAAGAGATTCAACAAAACAATAGTGACACTGATAAAGCTTGTCCACACCAAAGAAAGCAAATGTAGAGTTTCCCTTCAAGCCGCTTCCCCCCTTTTTATCTGTTTGTTGTATGAATCAGTGTATCTGCTGCCTCCTGAAACTACAAGACAAATGGTTTATTGCATTATTATTCATACAGCACAAATTCACCAGTGGTTTAGTTTTCTATCAGCTCAACAGTTCGCTGAAACCACTGTCACTGAAGAGTTATGACGTGGCTCATTTCTTTGTGGTCTCTAGCCACAGCATCACGGCCTCTTTGAGATGCAGTTTCACATATAGCTGGATCATAATAGTTAGAAAAGCCTGTAATGTATAGCCAAGCACTTTAGCCACCCTGAGAAGGGCAGAATGTTGGCCGTAGAATGTGGAAATGATGAAATGGACTCCTGTAATATGATTCTCTTTCAGGAGCCAGTAGAGCATCACCAGAAAGCTGATAGTGATAACAACAAGATGCGCTTTGTAACCAGATTCATTAACATCTGACCGTGTGAATCAAGCGTTTCAGAAACTCCTCCTTTCTTATTGCTGCTCACGTGTTGGAAGGAGGCTGCAAAATGTGGTTCATACCTTTGATTTTCAGAAAGTTTAATCCTGTAACTCACATTGGAGGGAAAAGTCACATTAACAAATTACAAACGACAGACTCTAACCCCCCACCACCCTCCACCGCACTTTTTTCTGGCCCTGAAAGAGGTTCTGCAGGGATGGTTGTTCTGAGCAGAACCCCCACAAAGATCCAGGCGCGAAACAAAACAGCCTGCGAGTTCCTGCAGTGGAAGCGGCCTGTTTACGCAAGTTATAGAAATCATAGGCCGGTGATAACAACCTTAGAAGCTGTTAGCAAATTTTCCGTTGTGATGTTGTGTTTTGCATGAAAACAGCAGCAAGAACACACACCTGGGCGCCCCCATAGCTCACCTGGTTGAGCGGGGGACCCATAAACAGGGGCTGTAGTTCCCTGATGCAGCGGTCGTGGGTCCGACCCTTTGCTGCAGGTCTCCCCCCATTCTTCTCCCCTCTTTTCCTGCCAGTCTCTATTGCTTTAATAAAGGCAAAAGCCCAAAAATATATTTAAAGAAAAAAAAAAAAGAACGCACACCCCTCTATCCAGCAGGTAATGTTTCCATGACAGTGACGTCATTGATAGGGACACTTCACTTTAAAACCACTTTCATCTGGGATCTCCAACTACTAGATTCAACAAAACTAACAGTTTATTGATTCATGAGAAATTATTTTAAAACAGAAAAACGCTGCACTATCATGTAACAGGAGCAATGGGATGGGTCCCGATTAAGTTGGTTCAAAGTGAGATTTAGACTTTGAGCAGATAGAAAATAAACCTTCATTGTCATCTGCCACCTGCAGAGAACAAACCAGAACACTTCACCTCTATTTTCTTTCTTATTTTAACATCATATCTGAGCTTGAACAACTAAAATCTTTAAAACGGCGTTGTGTGTTTTGGCCATTTGGGGGCAAAAGAACAAACTGATCTGATGTATTGTCGCTGTTGTATCCAATAGGTTTATGCTGCGTGTGTGTGTGTGTGTGTGTGTGTGTGTGTGTGTCTTTGGTGAGGCACTTGGTTTCCGGGGTTACCTGTGGGCATAGGTAGCAATTAGCCAGGCAGAGGCTAGATAAGGGAGACACAGGTGATCTGAGCCAGGAGAAGCCACATGTGACTCTCTGAATGGGTGTTATAGTATTTTTTTGTCTTTTTGTGTATGAGCTCATTTTTAGGTCACCCGGCCTTTTTGTAGGCGTTTTTTAAGATTTGCAACTTAGGTTAAATAAAGTGTTAAACGTACATCCATGGCGGACGTTGTTTTTACGCACCATCACGAGTTGTCTTCAAATTCCCTCCAGTTGCATTTTTTTTGAGGTAGATTGCCGCTACAGGCGCCTTGTAATTTGCCCCATCTACACTCTCCTCATGTACATGTCATTTGATCTGTTGTTGATATAAAAAA